AATCATCTACTGATGGGCATTTAGGTTGCTTCCAACACTTGGCTATTGTAAATTGTACTGCTGTGAACATTGGGGTGCATAGGTTCTTTTGTATTGGCATTTTGGTGTTCTTAGGGTGTAGTCCCAGCAGAGGAATCACTGGATCAAGAGGCAGTTCCATTTTCAGCTTTTTGAGGAAATTCCACATTGCTTTCCACGGTGGCTGCAGTAGTCTGCATTCCCACCAACAGTGTACTAGTGTTCCCTTTTCTCCACAGCCTCGCCAGCACCTGTTGTTTGTTGATCTCCTTGTGATGGCCATTCTGACTGGTGTGAGGTGGTACCTCGTGGTGGTTTTGATCTGCATTTCTCTGATGGCTAGTGATGCTGAGCATCCTTTCAAACGCCTCTGGGTCCTCTGCATCTCCTCCTTGGAAAAGCGTCTGCCCAGGTCCATTGCCCATTTTTTGATTGGATCGTTTGTCTTCTTGGAGTGGAGTTCAGTGAGTTCCTTATATATCTTGGAGATCAAACCTCTATCTGATGTATCATTAGCAAATATATTTTTCCCATAGATTTGGCTCCCTTTTCATTTTTCTAATTTTTTAGCTGTGCAGAAGCTTCTTATTTTGATGAGGTCCCACTTGTTTATTCTTTCCTTTATGTCTCTTGCTTTAAGAGACATATCAGTGAAAAAAATGCTGCGTGGGATATCTGAGAGTTTCCTGCCAATGTTCTCCTCTAGGACTTTTATGGTGTTGGGACTTATATTTCAGTCTTTTATCTATCTTGAGTTTATTTTTGTGTATGGTGTCAGCTGATTATCCGATTTCCATTTTTTGCATGTAGCCATCCAGCTCTCCCAACACCATTCGTTGAAGAGGCTATTATTGCTCCATTTTATGCTTCTTCCCTCTTAGTCAAATATCCGATGCCCATCAAGATCTGGGCTTATTTCTGGGCTTTATATTCTGTTTCATGGGTCTATGGGGCTGTTCTTGTGCCAATACCATATTACTTTGAGTGTAGTGGCTTTGTAGTACAGTTTGACGTCCGGTATTGTGATCCCTCCTACTTTGTTTTTCATTCTCAAAATCTTTGCGGCTGTTGGGGTTGTTTATGGTTCCCTATAAATTTTTGAAATGTCTGTTCTATTTCTGTGAAATATGTCATTGGTATCTTAATAGGGATGGCATTGAATCTGTAAATTGCTTTGGGTAGTATGGACATTTTGATGATATTAATTCTTCCAATCCATGAGCACAGTATATGCTTCCATTTATTTGTGTCTTCCTGCATTTCTTTCTTCAAAGTTGTATAGTTTTCTGCGTACAGGTCTTTTACCTCTTTGGTAACATTTATTCCTAGGTATTTTATTTTTCTTCTTGCAGTATCAAATGTTATTTTTTTTCTGATTTCTTCTTCTTCTATTGCATTGCTGGTGTACAAAAATGCCTTTGATTTCTGAATGTTGACTTTGTATCCTGCTGTTTTGCCAAATTAACTTATTAGGTTGAGGAGTTTTTTGGTGGAATCTACAGGGTTTTCTATGTACACTATCATGTCATCTGCAAACAATGATAGCTTTACTTCCTCCTTTCCTATTTGGATGTCTTTTATTTCTTTTTCTTGTCTGACCTCTGTGGCAAGGACTTCCAATATGATGTTGAAAAGGAGCAGTGAAAGCAGACATCCTTGTCGTGTTCCTGATCTTAGTGGGAAAGCTTTTAGTTTTTGCCAATTGCGTATGATGTTGGCTGTAGCTTTTGCATATATGGCCTTTATTATATTGAGGGATACCCCACTTATTCCCATTTTGCTGGGTGTTTTGATCATAAATGGATGCTGTACCTTATCGAATGCTTTTATTGCATCTATCGAGGTTATCATGTGGTTTTTCTCTTTTCTTTTATTTATGTGATGCATTACGTTTTTTGACTTGCATATATTGAACCATCCCTGCATGCCTGGGATGAATCCCACTTTATCGTGGTATATAATCATTTGAATGCATTGCTGGATGCGGTTTGCCAATATATTGTTGAGGATTTTAGCATCTATGTTCATCAGCGAAATTAGCCTGTAGTTTTCTTTCTTTGTAGGGTTTTTATCTGGTTTTGGGATTAGGGTGATGCTGGCCTCATAAAAAGAGTCTGGGAGTCTTCCCTCCTCTTGGATTTTTTGAATAGTCTGAGAAGGACAGGGGTTAGCTCTTCCTTAAATGTTTTGTAAAATTCTCCTGAGAAACTGTCCATCCCTGGACTTTTGTGTGCCGGGAGGTTCTTGATGACTGCTTCAATTTCCCCAGCTATTATTGGTCTGTTCAAGCTTTCTGTTTCTTCCTCCTTCAGTATTGGAAGATTACACTTTTTCTAAAAATTTGTCCATTTCGTCAAGGTTTTCAAATTTCTTGGCATATAATTGTTCATAGTAGTTTCTGACAATCCTTTGTATTTCTGTGGTATCAGTTGTTATTTCTCCTTTTTCATTTCTGATATTATTAATTTGGGTCCTCTCCCTTTTTTTCTTGATGAGTCTGCTTAAAGGCTTGTCAATTTTATTTATCTTTTCAAAGAACTAGCTTCTGGATTGGTTGATCCTCTGAATTGTTCTTTTTGTCTCTATGTCATTCAGTTCTGCTCTAATCTTGAGTATTTCCTTCCTTCGACTTGCTCTGGGATTTATTTGTTGTTGTTTCTCCAGTTCTTGAAGTTGTAGTGTTAGGTCTTTTATTTGAAATGTTTCTATCCTTTTTAAGTGAGCCTGTATTGCTATGAACTTTCCTCTCAGGACTGCCTTTGCTGTGTCCCATAGGTTTTGGACTGTTGTCTGTTCATTTTCATTTGTTTCCAGAAGTGTTTTGTTTTATTCCCTTATCTCATTATCGACCCATTCACTGTTTTATATTCTACTGTTCAGTCTCCATGAGTTTGCAAGTTTTTGAAGTTTCTCTTTGCCTTTTATTTCCAGTTTCAAGCCCTTGTGGTCTGAGAAAAAGCTTGGTATTATTTCAACTGTCCTGAATTTGCTGAGGTTTGCTTTGTATCCTATCATGTGGTCTATCTTTGAAAAACTGCCATGGGCATTTGAAAAGAATGTGTATTTTTCTTTTCAAAGGCACTTCTTGAACGAAGATGTTTCTTTCCCTCTCTTTCTCCCTAAAAACCACTCCTTAAAATATGAAATATAAATATTTTGTATAAAATATAAATTGTATATGAAATATAAAAATTTTACCTTTGTATGTGAAATTAATAAAAACTATTTTTATATCACATTAACCTTTAACATTACATATTTCGTCTATGTAATATAAGCACTCCCCATGGAATTTAAAAGCCATAAATTACCACAAATTAGGGGCCAGGGAAAACCAGGATGGATAGACTTTTTGGGTGAGGTGGTAGTAGAGTATGAAATAGGGATGTGTGACTGTACATATATTTATTTATCCTTCCTCCTTTGCCATGTTACGTAGTGGAGCGTTAGGGAACATTGAGCAGGGCCACAAGCATAGGGAGTTCAGGGTCACACAGGATTACAGTAATAATAGGGACTACAATGGGCCTCGGTATCAGGAGTGAAGTGCTACTGGAAAAGTTACTTACAAATCTTGAAGTGACTTTGGAACTGATTAAGGAAAGGATGCTGGACTTATTTTGAGTCACATATAGAAATAAAGTTGATTTTCATGAACTCATGTTACTCAACATCTTGGTGCAAAAACTTTTTAAATGAACACCCAGATGGAAGTGTAGGCCATAATACAGACAGCTTATATCATCTTAGAAAATACCACAATAATTATAAACACAAGTTGGTTAGAAAGAGAAATGTTAAAAATTCTGAAGGTAGAGGTAAAGCGAAATAAGGAACATGGCATTTCACATGTTTGGAAATGGGATTACTTTTTGTCCACATACACATTTTCACAGTGTCTCTGTTGCATAAGACAGTGATGTCACAGTTCTAGGGGACTCAGATTTGGACACTTTTGGTATTTTTACTGAGATGGTCAAACTAAGGATCACTCAAGCCGCATAATTCATTGAGGCTTTATTTATGAAACTTTACCAGTTACAGAGAATAGAGGGCACTCCTGTAGGGAGGAGCCCTCATGATGGTGTGTCTGTATGAGGAGGTATAGTTTCATGGGACAAATATACCTATTTCATACCATCATCATCATCATCATCTTTCTCTTTATCATCATTGGCTGACATTTATAATTTTCATTTTCTCTGCACATGGTGGTTTTCCACACAGAGTAACTTATTATCAATTTCTTCATTTTTTTCAGTATTTAAATAGAATGAGTACTCAGACTCTACTTTATTTTATGTTTGACTGCTGATAACTGATGTCTCATTCCTGTGTGTGTGTTCTAGCTTCCCCCAAAATTAAATCTGATTAGAGAGGTTGGGTCTCCTCTTTAGTTGACATTGCAAAAGTGAATCCGCAAAAGCTCCTGTGAGCAGAATTTCTCTCTTCCACCACCTCATTTCCTGGCTCTATTAAAGCATGTCTGACTTGCTGAGAGGCCTTTCCTCTTCCAGAGATTTCAACTCTGTTTGTGACAAACCCTCCATGTCCTCCAGGTGTGTGTGTTTGTCGTCAACCTGGACATCCACAAAAGGTTCTCTTGGGTTCCTTTGATGTCTGCCATGTTAAGCATGCTTGGTGCTGTGGCCAAGAAGCCAAGTCAAGGGAATTCATCACCAGGAGTCTTTGTTTCTTGGTGTTGTAATTATAGGCCCCTGGTGCCTAATGCCCTGCATGCACATGTCTTGCTGACAGCCACCTTGGACACTGAGCTCTGTGGATCTGTTCAGTGCTACTGAGTCCTTTAGTTTTACAGTTACACTTATCTGATATGGGTCACATGTTTGATGATTTGCTGGTATTGGGCACAGGAGTGTCTGAAAGAGACATGTCATAATATTTTGTACACATAAGAATACTGTCTCTTTGTGGCAGACCTTTATTTTTTTAACTCAGTGACTTCACAAGGGTGTACAAAATCAGGAATCCAGAGGTTCCCTGAGGGAACTGTCAGATGAAAAAGAGCCACAGAGGAAACCAGACAAACCCAAAGTGCAGCTGCTCGTGTGATGGTCCTTGTGTTCAGGAACTCTGAACACCATCTGGTGGTCAAACCCCTTCCTGAAGGGAGGTTTATGCCTGGCCTTACACTGACTTCCCCTCACTGTGCCTCTAGCACAGTAATACAGTGCCGTGTCCTCAGCTCTCAGCCTGTCCATTTGCAGGTAGAGTGTGTTCTTGCTGTTTTCTCTGGAGATGGTGAATCGACCCTTCACAGAGTTGGCATAGTATATGCTACCACTATTCCAATTAATGTATGAGACCCACTCCAGCCCCTTTCCTGGAGCCTGGCGGACCCAGTTCATGCCATAATCATCAAACGTGAATCCAGAGGCTGTGCAGGAGAGTCTCAGAGATCCCCCAGGCTTCACCAGGCCTCCTCCAGATTCCACCAGCTGCACATCACACTGGACACCTGCAAACACAAGCACATCATATAAGGAAATTGTAATCCCTCCACTGTTCTTCCTAGTCATATCCCCTCACATACTCAGTGTCTGTTGCTCTCCATAAATTACCTCTTAAAATAGCCAGAAGGAAAATGCAGCTGAGCCCAAACTCCATGGTGAGTGGTCTGTGCTCTGTGCTGATAGGGAATGGGAACACCTGAGGATCCTGAGCAGAGTTAGGTTGGGCTGCTTTTTATGAGCAATGGGGCCCTATTTGCATGTTCTCCTACTATATAGGGAGCTCCAGGTTTGGAGACGTGCAGAGAGTGTCATGCCTCAGTGCATGTCTGAGTGTCTTCTGGAAGGTGGTCATGATAAGATTTCAATAACTAAGTAAAGAAAGCTGAGCATGTCTACGGCTTTTACAAGATGCCACATTTAATGACAGTGAGCCTAACATCCATTACGGTGCCCTCCCCACTGGCTCCTATGGCTCTCTTGAATCTGCTCCAGGGCAGAGAAAGACATGCCCATTAATTGTAGGACACACTTTCTGGAATGGTAGCATGAATGAGTGTCACTATCTAGTGTTGTCTTCATTGCAGGGGTGTATACTCCTGTTTTATCAGAATCCTAAGTGCAGTGGAGAGGAAAATTTATCACCTGTGATGTGGACATAGATCTGCAAAGTTGACTCAGATTCACCCAGACCTGTCACAGGCAACTGTTGTTAACATTGCTGTTGTGCCCAGAGCCGGTGTCATGGACACACATAGTATCTTTTCTGTCTTCTCCATTATCAGGAGACTGTGTTGATCTTAGACATTGATATGAATGGATACAAAATATGAGCATTAGAAGGTCCCTGATGCAGCTGGTCCTGTGGTCAGACTTGACATCCATCATTTTCCTCCCATGCACCATCAGGATCATGTAAGACCACCCTACACTGTGGGCAGTAGGTTGCTGTATGTGGGTTGTATGTTGGGAGACCCAGGCCCAGAGCACACAGGGCCTGTGAGCCTTGGTCAGAAGACCTCCATCAGCCATTTGAATAATTCAAGTTTTCTTACTCTTGCTGAAGAAAATTAAAGGGAGGAATAGACTCTCCTCCAGCCACACTGACCCCTTTCTGTCCATGCTGGACGATGCAACATTATACACATATGGGAAGAGAGTACAAATGCACCCCCTGCATAGAAACTATTTTTTCTACAGCTCCCTCTAGTCCGGGGTTGTGAGGACTCCCTTGGATGAGGCAATAATCACAGCCTTGATTTACTTGATATCTAAATGTGTCAACTATAGACAAATTCCTTTCTGGAAACAGGACCACTAATCCATTTCAGGTTTTTACTGTTGAGATTAAAAGAAACCTTCTCTTTGTTGTCTTCACTCCTTTGGTGGCGGAATTATTCTGCTTAATCCCCTGTGCCAGACCATGTGCTTTATCCCCCAATTATTGTAATGTTCATGGTGTTCAGGGCATGAGGAGTGTGATGGAGGGGATCGGTGGTCTACATCATGAACTTAATCAGGAATTATAGCATCTGTTGGAAAATACTGCCATGTGTTGTCTTGTCCAAACATGCACCGCCAAGTCCAGTGCCTGGAATCCACCAATCACAGCTCTTCTTTTTCGTCTGCACCCAGGATAACTAAATGAAATGAAATATCTGTGCCCCATATTCTTGATCCTATTGTGCACGTTTCATCTCTCATAACTACAAGGTTCACTGGCCTTAGGGGAACTCATGTAGGATCTCCTGCCAGGCAATCAGATATCACCACATTGGAAACTTATTGTAACAGAAGCCGTCCAATAACAAAATCACATGCATGTATAATTTGGGTTTATTCTGGTAGGGAGTAATTTCTATCTCTCCATGGTAAGCTAGGCCTCCATTAGTTGATTCCATTGCAATGACAGGTGGGAAGCCCATAAAACAGGGCCACAGAGACAGGTGGATGCGGTGTCTATTCCATGTCAGCTCAAGTGCCCAGATAAAAGAAGCCCTGATATAAACAGTGTGAGCCTGGAAAACACTGAAGTCTTGGAAGGATGACTTCAGATACCGTAACTCTGATCTCCCCTGACGTTTGGCCTAGCAGAACAACTTTTTTTTTTTTCATTTCTTGTTTTTAATTAATTAATTAGTTACTTTAGTAAAACTAGAATGGGCATTAAAATGTCAGTTCAAAATATCACCTGGTTTTGTCTTAAATTTCATTAGTTATTTATTTTCCATGAGATGGCTGTAGTCTTGTTTTGTTGACTTTATCTTCATTTGAAACAATTCATAAGACTGTATTATGACAGCTGCCATACCAGTGTGCATTAAAAACATCAATATTGGTGAATTTTTGTGTAGCCATTCTAATATTGAAGATGAAGGAATACAAGCAAAATTTTTGGCATATGCTTTAGTGTTTTAATAATGGAAAAATGCCACTTAAATAGAAGAATGTTTGTGCAGTGTAAAGAGAAGATTCTGTGAGTAATTAAAAGTTTCCAAAGGTGTTTGCTAAGTTTGATGCTGGAGATTTGTCACTCTATGATTCCTCAATGCACGATATCCCATGCTTGCATAGACCAGTTGATGCTGATAGTAATCACGTCGAGACACTAATTGAGAACATCAGAATTTTACCAATGAGTGATAACCATTATTCTCAATATATCCAAATCAAGCCTGTGAAAATCATTTGCCTTACCTTGGTTATTCATTTTCTTTGATGTCTTGGTTCTTTGTGAGTAAAGCAAAACAAAAACAAAATGAAAACAAACAAAAACCTTCTTGATGGCATTTTCTTTTTTTTTTATTTTTTTTTACTTTTTTATTAATTTATTTACTTTTTAAATACATTTGTCTCTGCCTTCCCCCCACCTCTTTCCCTTGCCCCCTCCCACCTTCCCTCCCTCAGCTCTTCCCCTTTGGTTTTGTCCATGAGTCCTTGCTATATGTTCCTTGACTTTCCCCTTCCCTTCCCTTTCCCTGCCCCCCCTTCGCTCTTGTCTCTGTTGATTTCTTTTCAAATGCAATTGTCTACTCAAACATAATTAAAACATGTTTTTAATGTAAGGGTGATGAAAGTGGGTACTTCACGATAATCTGGAATGGAAGAGGCCATGGAACAAGGAAAATGAGCCACCACCAGCCACATCAAAGGCTAGTCTTCACAATAGAAAGTTTTGTTTTGCATATGGTGGAACTAAAAAGGAGTCAGCAATGATAAGCTCCTTCTGGAAAACAGCAATTAATTCTAACATGCACTGCTCCCAGTGAGGGCAACTGAAAGCATCCCTTGATGAAAAGCATCCAGATTTCTCAACAGAAAACAGATTCTTCCACGCAAATAAGGCATAACTTCATCTACTTTGATGACCAGCGTAATACTGTAACAGCTGCACAAGGAAGTTCCCATGTATTCGCTGTATTCAGAAGATAGTGCTCTTTTGGATTTCTAATCATTTCAATCTGTATGGAATTATGTCAGGGAAAAAAGTCAATTCCCTAGAAGACAGAAAAACTCACCTGTAATGATCCTTAGCATAAAACAGATTATACATAGTGGGAAGATGTAATGATATAGTTTCCTGAGAGATAACAGGAGTTAGTGGGGGAAGAAAACTATGAATATATCATTCAATGAAGTTACTGGTGCAAAAGTTATCTTATTATTTATTTAAATTTGAATGATATTGTGTGCCAACCAAAGAGCTGTAGCTGTTAGAACATATGACATTAAATGTAGTCAATGTGGAGGGGCTGTGGAATGGAAATAAAAAGATACAGAACAGAGTTTTCTCAGGAACCTAATGGGAATCATTAATTCCAGAGGCTGAAAGTGGTCGGTGTGGATAAAAGCTGGTATAAGACTCTGCAGAATGAGACTCATGGTAAAGATGAAACTACCTCCGATTGACTTGAGATTTGTCTTTTTATGGTTGAACCTTGATGAAACCAGCAACTGGACTGCTATCGTTAGAGACTGAGAAGCTCTTTCAAAACACAGAAATATCCTTTCAAATGTTCATTCGGAGTTATACTCATTTCAAACACTCCACAATTTTCTCCAGCTTCATAAGTGCAACTTTTTGCTTAAGACATTTTATATTTATCAATGTCACCATAAAAATATTTCCAAACATGGATTCATCTCTCGATCCTCTCATAGGTCTACTCCAAGAAGCTTGGCTCACAGACGTTGACTAAGTATCGGGGCTGTGGTCACTGGTGACCCTGGAGAGACCAGAAGTGGCCAGGCCATCTGCCTGTTTACAGACTATCAGCTGCTTAGTCCACCAATGAGCTTGTCCATCATTGTGCCCTGCAGCCGGTCAGACCACCTGATTGTTGTAAAACTAAAACATACTTCTTTTTAACATTGTCTTGGTGTCAGCATCTTGCTAAACTCACATATGACACAGGTGTCACCTGGACCATGGTCTAGGATATGTGCCATAATAATTGATACCATTATAAGGTACTGGGAATTTAAAGACAGGCCACACACTTGGAGAATGTATATTCAAAACACATGTTTGGTAAAGGATTAGTGTGATGAACTCACTCTAAACCTGCAAGAAAAAAAATCAAAATACTTAACAAACCTAAGGCAGCCATTGGAAGATACACCTCCTCAAATGACGCAGTCATTTGGAAAGCAGTGGGGGTGCTTCCAAACCATGAAATCAGAAGCCCCCCATGACCAGTAACCCAGCATCAAATGCTCTCCTCAAATAGAATACAACCTGCATTTGGAAGTGAGAGAGTACCCTGCTCCTTGTCGCTTTACCCATCTTGGCCAAGGAATGGAAAACATCACAATGCCCATCAGATGATGAATAAATTGTGTGGTTTATATCTTAAAATTAAAAACTTACTACTATGCTTTAAAACAAAAGGAACCCTGCCATAAACTACAAAGTGGGTGGCACAGCAGGATGACAGGCTAGGTTGCATGAGCCATCAGGAAGGACCAGCACTACATGGATCAATGTAGGTGAGGTATCTGAGTTAGTGCAACTCATGGACACAGATAGAGGGATGATCCTTGCAACATGAAAGAGAGAACTTGGGAAACGGGTGTTCACTGGATGGCAATTTCTGCCATGAGACAGTGTTGTAACTGGGGGTCTGTAGTAGAGCATGAGCTTGGAATGAGTCACACTGTGTTGTACACTCAGGGATTTTTGGTGGACACATCACATGTTAAGG